AGTGAAATTCTAATTTCGCGCTACCCCTCTCATTCTCTCATCCTAAAAAAAAATTCACGCTTCTTTTCTCTTTTCAGCCCCAAATCGAAACCACTTCCCCCCTCCTCTCTCCTTATCTCTTTTCCAGACCCAAACCCTAAAATTCGCACACCCACTATCTACTCTACCTCTCCCTCTCCTCATCTATCTGTCTCTGTCTCTGTCTCTCTGTATGTGGCTACATGGTCTCTAAGAAGAAGTATGATTGCTTTGTAAGTATCTATTTCAAGAATTCAATTTCTTATTTCGTATTTGGGTTTCATGTTTTATTTTTATTTTTGCAGAATCTAGGTTGGTTTGTCTCCTCTCTCCCTCTTCGTTCCAGTAACCCTCTCGCCCTTGGTTTGTATCAATTCCTAAACGCCAATTTGTTTTTTCTTTAAATATGTTTCCTGATTAATTTTTCAGTATTGGTTCTGAAAAAAAATGGGTATTTTGTTGTTGATTCATTCTATCGAGTTCACGGTTTTGATAAATTTTCAACCATGCTAAGCAGGGTAATTGTACAGACTGATGGTAGAAAAAGTAGCAGATCTTGATAGTCTTGAAAGTTTGTGAATCTCCTTTGTTTAATTGTGTTGTGAATTTTTTTTTTAGGGGATAGGATGTGCTGTGATTCTTTGGTGGTATTATTATATGAGGAGAGGGACTTGCAGATTTGGCACTTCTTGTAAGTTTCGCCATCCTAAACATGTAATTAATTTTCTTCTCTTCTTCTTTCTGTTTATAGATGAAGACTCTGGTTGGTACGATGGTCAGGTACATAGGTTTTTAGTTTATCTTTTGGTTATTACCAAGTTGAATGATTATGTTACATCTAAAGTTGATTCAATGCTCACAACTCTTTTAGCATATTTCATTACCTTAAAAGTTGGAAGTTTTTCCTTTTCAATGCAATTTCCTTCCCTTTTGTAGAATCATAAAGCTTGCTTTCGAACTAGTTCTTTTTTCTTGTAAAGAAGTATATGACAAGGTAGTAAAAGTTGGATATTCCATTGAAGTTGCCTGGAGGATATATATATCATCATATGTTCTCATTGACAAATGTGGTATGCATGGTGCCAATTGCCTGGAATGTCCACTATTTCTTTATGACCAGTTCGTCAAATGCAGGAAATCATCACGAATCTGAATTTGAACCAACATTTAATTATCTTGTTTTTATATTTTAGTATTCTACTTGCTGGCTATTCTGATGTAGATATTGAAATTTATTGTATTTGTCACCAAAATATGTTTTGTAAATGCTTCGAAACGTAAGGTTTAGTGCTGCTTAGAGTTGCTATGGGTTCATTTTTATATTCTTGTTTCAGGTGTTTGATTGAATTCTTATATTCATCTTGTTGAAGCCTGCCATCCAACGAGTGGGTTTCATTTGAAATTCTTAGTTTGGGTGTTTAATTCTTGTTTTTATTCAAATTTAAGTTTTGGGTTCAACAAGAATTCCAATTATTATAATATTTTGGTTATGCGCTTCACTTTTGCATAGCCTGCATTCTTTTGTACACATTTTCTTATTAAATTTCTCAAATTTTAGTAAGTATTGAAGCCCTAATGACATCTTCGTGATGCTTTAAGAAGCATATTTTGACAAGAAAAATGACATTTTTGGAGCTTAGGCTTTGTTGGGTAGGTGGATTGGTTTGTCTACGC